CTCATCCCTTTGCCTGATGAGAGAAGTGGAGTTCATCAGAGTCAAACTTTGGACCCAAACCCAAGCCGGCTGTGTGGTCTTGTGCAAGGCACGCAGCCCCGCTGAGGTCCCTTCCCTTTGCCTGGTGGGTGGATGCAATCATGTCTGACCTGTCTGCTACCTGGGATTGCTTAGAGAATAATGAAGAGATCATCCTCAAGCTTGGGAAGTTGAGAGAAAAGAAATCAGAGAAGGGAAAGGACTCGACGGTCCTGCTCCTGAACGCTGGTCAGGTTGGTTGGCAGGTGGAGGAGAGAGAAGCATCACCAGCAGCCAGGGCGGGGACAGAACCCATCAATCTTCCCTGGCCTCAGCGCCTGCCCCAGCTTCCTGCCCTTGTTTTCTACAGGGCCCAGAAGTGTGCATAAACCTGTCTCAAGGAGGTCGGAACCAGCCCAATCTGGAGCCTGTGGTGACAGGAGAAGAACATCAGTATCTTTATCTTCTACATCTAGTAGGACTTGGCGTGTGTCCTGCAGCAAACAGACCCCATCACTAGAGTGGCATGGGTGGCCCCGGGTGCCATGTACCTTCCATAGAATACGTACCACTCTATGGTACCCAGATTCCTACTCATCCAAGAGCATAAAGCTTGAGGTCCCCAGTGCATGATCTGCCTCCTTCTGTGTGCCAGCCTGCTCTGGCTCCCCGGAGAGAAGCTGAAGTCCTACTGGCTTCAGTCAGAGGCTTTTTCTGGCCAGAAGCCCCACCTGGCATCTCTCCTCCCTAAGCAGTGAATGTAAGCCATACTAGAACTCTTCCCCATCCCCAAACACCATCTACCACTTAAAACCCCTGGCCTGGCCCAGCCTGCCAGAGGAGAGCAGAGGCCTGGCTGGTGGGGTCAGGGAGGGGTCCTGGGAGGATGGAGTGAATCAGTTGGTGTGTAAAAGACCACCAAGCTTCCCCTGGATTCATGTACTCAAAAACTCACTCCCCATCTCACTTTCACTCACTGGCTGTAGCGGAGGTTTACTAGGGGACGGACAGAATTGTGCCCCATCTTAGGGAATTGACGAAGATGCTCTTCCACAGCTGTGGGTTCAGCATCTGCAGATTCAACCAAAATGAAATCAAAAATATTTTTTAAAAGTTGTTTCTTTACTGAACACAGACTTCCTCTTCTTGTCACCGTTGCCTAAGCAATATAGTCGAACAACTATTTACACACATTTGCATTGTACTCAGAGCCATGAGTAAGGCAGAGATAACTTCAAGTACCCAGGAGGATGGGCCTGGGCGACGTGCTACCGTGCCATTTGAAATGAGGAACTCGAGCATCCTCAGATTCTGGTACCAGCAGGGCATGGTGACACATGCTTTTAATTCCAGCAACTCAGGAGGCTGAGGCAGGGCGGTTCACAAGTTCCAAGCCAGCCTCAGCAATTTAGCAAGGTCCTAAGCAACTTAGCAAGACCCTGTCTCTAAATAAAATATATAAAGGATGTGGCCCAGTGATGGAACACTCCTCTTCAGGAGGTTCTGAAACCCATTCCCGACTGACACAAGAGATGACTATACAGTTGTCCCTGTGCGTGAAACACTGTCGCCCCCTCTTGTCATGGACCTCTTCATCTTTCAGGTCTCTGCTTCAGCACCCTCTTCTCTGGAAATTGTCCCCTTCTTACCAGTGCTGTCCTGGACGATGCTCACCTTCAGCCCCAGAAGGAAGTAAGGGAGGGAGCAGAGTGGCCGGCAGCCCAGAATGAGAGCGCCTGCTGACCCCCGTCATGCAAAGACTTTCAGGCTAAGGACACCCCACCTGCGGCGTCACTCAGGCAGGACTGAGAAGAGGGGCATGCACAGAATTGGCTCTTAAAGAAAGCAGTCCCCTGGTTCTCTCCATCACCACAGCGTGTTTCTAAGAACTTTCCCATTCTGTAATCACGTGGTTATTTTGTCTGCTCACTCGCCTTCACGGCTATCTTCTCTGTGACATTGGAAGCTTGGTGACAGCAAAAATTTTACTGTCCTTGTCACACTCCCTTGTGCCTGGCTCAGGGTCTGGCATGAGGGACAATAAAACCTAAAGGGATGAATCAGTGAAACTCCCTCTGAGGTTATTAACTGGTTATTTCACCAGCGGTTAGGAAAAGATGTACCAATGGCCTATAGGCACTAGTACAAGTTCATTAAAAACACTTGTAGGTGATTACTCTCGTTTCTTCTTTTGATAGGGTCATTAGTCAAGTTAATAAATGAAATGATAACAGCAACAGTAGCTAACCGTGCATTGGCTACTTGCTGCCCACCAGACGCTACTGTGGTGTGCCGCAGGGTCTCAGCAACTGGCTCTCAAGAGGATGAAAGCCTAATTTGTAGAATCTTCTGATTTCTTGGTAGCAAAGAATACTTAGAAATATTTACATTTCCACCATGATCAATTTCAAGCCCTTAAACTTCACCCATTCCACAAATTTACTGAAAATTGAGCAGTCAGATGCCCTAGATCGCCACACTTTTACTGAAGCAAATATATAATAATTCTCACGGCAACCCTGTGAAATAGGAATCACAATTATTCCCATTTCACAGATGAGGAAACCAAGGCAGAAAATCACAAGCTGAGTGTTCAGGAAGTCCTGTTCTAGGGCCAGTGCTTACACCAGGTGGAGACGGGAGCAGGACTTTGACGAGGCCTCTCCTCCACTGCATCCCACTGGAGAAGGTGGCAGATTGTCAGGGGGCTTCACATCTGGCTTCATGACTGCATTCCAAGGAGCTGGTGAAGAGCAGAATGTCAACAAGCCCACAGGAGCCCCCACACTCGCCACGGGGCATCCACAAATGGGTCGGTTTGAGGAGGGAGGGGTGTGGGAGTCTTAGTAGTTTGTAACAAGGGACCAACTGTCTCAGTGTGAAATTTAGTATGAGTAAGAAACTCGACTCCCAGTTTGGATGCAAAACACGCGGCATCCGGAGGTAGGCTGGTTGATGGAGCCCAGCAGTAGTGTGGGAACCGGCCGCAGGCTGTAGCTGGTCCCCAGCTAGAACAGGGTGGCACGGAGTTTTCCACACTGCTGACGGGAACCGGAGCTGCGCTGTCAGAGGTACAGTGTGTGGCTCCCCCAGGCCCCTGGCGGAGCATCACCCTCAGAGGGTGGAGGGGACGCTGAAGCCCACCTGGCCCGAGGAGAAGGGAGTCCAATCAAACCCTCCCAAGCAAAGAGGGGCAGGAAGTAGGCTGTGTAGCCTGCGTCTGTGGGAGAAGGGAGGCTCCCTGCTCTGTGTGGCCCCAAAGGAAAGAAATAGAACATTGGCAAGGTTACCAGGAAGCAAAGTCCACCTCCGTGGAAAAAAAGTGCTTTCTGACAACCCCACCTCCCCAGATGGCTGGTAGTGGGATCCCCATCAGGAGGATCAAGAGGGTCATCCCAGAATGGCACACCTGCGTGGCATGGAAGAAAACTGTAGGGAGACAGAATCGGGCATCATCTAGGTAAGGTTCGCAGTGCGTGGCCAAGAATTATCAAGGTGGAGAGCATCAGGCCTGTACATGAAATAATGTACAGCTGCTTTATTGAGCACCTATTATGGGGGAGGGCTTGCATTAAGCACTTTGCCTATATTATCTATAACTCCCAGTAACCCAGCAAGCTGTGCAATGGTGTATCTCCTCTCTGGGGGAGCAAACAAAGGCTCTTTAAAGGCTTCAGAGGCCCCTATCTCCATTGTCACTGGGCTGCATCCTGCTACCCTCTGATCTCTTCCACCCATGACACTTATGCTTAGAACACGCACAAAGGGAAGAGAAAGGAAGGGTATTTTGTTTTCCTTTAGATTTCTGAGAAGCAAATGGGTGAGAGTGTTTGCATGTGGAATTATGAAAATCCTCTCAATCTGCACTCCCGTGCCAACGCTCACAAGCGACCCAGGATTCCCAAGCACCTGGGCAGTACAGTGGCTTCCTCGTCACAGAGGAAATGATGGTTTTCAGATGCTCCAGGCAAAGAGGAGTCACGGACGTGTGTGAGGGCCACGTGGGGAGTGAGGGGCATGAAGGCTGCGTGTCTGCTGCAGGTGGCTTCCTGTAGGTGTGTCTCCATGTGAATCAATCAATCCCAAGTTACTGCGTGTGGAGGACAGGGAGAGAGACGGAGGCGGGTATTTTGTGTCCCATGTTGTTATTTACGTCTCCACCCCCACACTCCCGAGATAGGCACAATTGGCCATGGCGACATTTCAAAGCATTTCCATGGAAGCATCCGGGCACTTGAACTGTCCTCTTTGAGTCCCCATGCCAAGGCTGTGAGCTCATGCAGCTGACCGGGCCCCGGGTGGCTCTGTCAACTTCCCCTACCTGTTGCAACCTCTAAGAAATAGACAATTTGGCATTACGGAGTCCCCTTTGCCAGGAGTCCCCTCCTTGGGACAATGTGTGTGAGGAGGAGGAACAGGGACGAAGCATGGGGAGGCTCTTCTCTTAGAAGAAAACTGTAGGGTTTAGCCTTCTTGGGTCTTTGCTTCAGTGGCACAGAATCAAGTCTGAGCTACCAAATCATAGCATGAAACAATTCCACCCTAGAGATCCTCAGTGGAGCACAAGGGCTGGATGTCCAGGCTGCCTTGGGAAAGGTGAAGCTTGCGTGGGGAGAGGGTGGCCCAGCTGGGCACATCAGAGCCCAAGAGGGTGGAGAAGGAGCCCTGGTCTGGTGCAGAAGAGTGGAGGCCCAGGGCCAAGAGGCCTCTGTGCAGGAGGAGGCCCACTTGAGAAGGCTTCCCAGGGAACTGGCAGGAGGTGGCGGCAGCTACAGGGAGATTGGTCATACCCGGCAGGGACTGGTTGGATAAGTGAGCATGCAAATAATGGGAGGCTGGGAAAAACTAGAGTAATCCTGTGGCCCTGGGTGAAAAGTGGAGGTGTCCCTGGAGCGCAGGCTTGACAATAGATACAGACAAATAAGTGTTGTATAGAGGTGCACACACTCCCTGGCTTTCCGCGGTCAACCAGCCTAGGAACATCAGGACCCTAAAGCCCATGACAACCTGAATGAGCCTGGACCATCTGCTGCCAGAGAGTGAGAAAACTTGCAAAAGGGGAATGAAGTGCATGGAAAAGACAGAAGCCAGATTGAAGGGTGCCCAGGGACCCAACTGGGAGCAGCCCGAGTATCCAAGTAAGTAGTGATAACAAGCACAACCCATTAAATTAAACTAGGAGTCCATGGGGAGAGGAATTAATACATAATGAAAAAAAAAGGTAGCTGGATAGCTGGATGGGCGGAGGTACAGTGCACACGTACACAAGGTGGATATTTGGCCAGGTGCGGGGGCACACGCCTGTACTCCCAGAGGCTCGGGAGGCTGAGGCAGGAGGATCATGAGTTCAAAGCCAGCCTCAGCAACAGTGAGGTGTTTAGCAACTCAGTGAGACCCTGTCTCTAAATAGAATACAAAATAGGTCTGGAGATGTGGCTCAGTGGTCGAGTGCCCCTAGGAGTGACCCTGAGTTCAATCCCCAGTACCAATAAATTAATAAATAGAGAAGTAAGTAAATAAATAAATAAAAGATGAATATTTGATGAGGAATGACATTGTTCCTAGCTGGGATCTGTGATGTCCCCCAAAATCCCATGGGTTGAAGGCTTGGTCCCAGCTGCTGGTGCTATTGAGAGGTGGTAGAAAACTTAGGAGGAGGGGCCTGCTTGGAAAAAATAGGTCCTGTGGGTGTGTCTCTGAAGGGTAGGTCTTGTTCTGGTTCCTTCCTCTCTTTCTGCTTCCTGGCCCTCAGCAGGTTCGCAGCGTTGGCCGACCACACTCCCCGCCAAGACCTACCTCACCACTAGGGCCAAAACAATGGAGTTCAGTGACCATGGGCTGAAATCTCTGAAACTGTGAAGCAAAATAGATCTTTGCTCCTTTTGAGTTGCTTATGTCAGGTATTTTGTCACAGTGACGTAAAGCTGACTAGCACAGAGATGTTAATATGATTTCAAAGTAACTTCCCCAGGAAATCTTACTAATCACAAAGGGGAACAGGGCAACTCTGCCACAGAGAAGCCTGATAGACATGGCTGTTACCAAGTGGTCAAAGCAGGAGAAGCTAAAGTGTCATGTAACGAGAACGCGGCATCTTGTCTGGGATGCGTCTGCCGGAGATGCATCACCTGAACCCCTTCATGGGGACAGGCCACTCTCGATCCTGCCCAGAGTCCTGTAACTTCTGCTGGGTTCTTTTCCTCTGAACTTGGTGCTTTGGTCTGAGTGTGTCCCTGGAAAGTTCATGTGTTGGAACCTTAATTCCTCTGTGTGGCAGTGTTGAGAGGTGGGGCCTAGAGGAGGTGTCTGGGGTCATGGCCCTGGAGTCCCAGTGAATGGATTCATGTCTTTTTGAGGGAGGGGTTAGTTAGTACCAGAGCAGGTTGTTGTGACCCTTGGCTTTCTCTTGTTTTCTCTCTCATCATGTGACCTTGCTTCTATACACACCTGCTTTCTCTTCCACTTTCCACAATGAGCTGAAGAACCAAGAAGCCCACACCCATACAAATGCCCAATCTTGAACTTCCTGGCCTCCAGAATTGTGAATCAAAGTCAACCTTTTTCCTTTGTAAATTACCAGTCTTAGGTATTGTATTGTAAGCAATAGAAAACAGACTAAGGCACTTGGTCAGCCTGGTGCCTTCCTGTTAGTCAAATTTGAGTTTAAATGTGATCCCATCAGAAAGCATCTAACCTAAAGTAACCACCGGGTCCCTTTCTATCCTATCACTACTTCAGTGCACAGAGGAGCACTTATCACCCTCTGGTATTTTTCTTGGCTGATTTGTTTAGCATCTGTGATTCCACGTTCCACTGGAACACAGAATTCATGAGGTAGTTTTATTCCCTACTCTGTCCACAGAGCCTGGCTCACAGGGATACACACAGAAGTTGGTTGAATGAACCATACTACCGTCCCTTCAAGGGGTCTAGGCAAGTGGGTTAAACAGCAAACAAGTGGTAGGGCTGAGGCCACATGGAAATAGGTCAGTCCATAACTGTGTGTGGAGGCAAGGGAACCACTGGACCTGGCATCTCTGGTCAGACCCATAGGGACATCTGGGCAGCAGATACCCCACAGGGGAGCAGGAGGTTTGGTGCCCAGCAGGGAGCCTGGCCATGGAGCTGGGCTGCCTCAGCACAGAGGGGGAAGGCAGGCTTTTTAGGGACTCCCATTTCAGCCTCTTCCCCAGGCCTACAGACCGGCCCTCAACCTTGCCCTCGCTCAGGAGTGTCCTTCCCTCCCAGCCTCATCCTCTCCACCTCTGGACTCCACGTGGGCTCTTTCTTGTGCACATGTCCCTCCCAGGCCTGCTGCTCCCAGCGGATTTGGGCCCACTGACCAGAAATGGCAGATCCTGCTCAGGGAGGTCCTCGGACCAGGGCCCCGACAGGTCTAAGATGGGCACCAAGACAGGAGCCGGGAATGTCGCAGTCCATGGGCGAGGAGCAAGAGGAGGAAGGGGAGGGAGGGGACGCACTTTTCTTTATACTCAGACTCCAGCTTGCAGAAGCTCCCAGGAGCAGCATGGTGCCTGGGCAGTCCACTGGCCACAGGGGTCTGCCAGGATGGCCGGGGGCAGGTGATGGGCAGAGGTAGGCCCGGGGATGGTGAGGACAGGAGGAGGGAGAGGGAAGAGCTCTGCCCTTCTGCAGAGCTCAGCAAGGTGCCTCCAGGTCGGTGAAGCAGAGGCAGGATGGTCAGGGATTCAGTCAGGGGTGGGGCCTGCTGAGAGCTGACCCTCGGCTGGCATGGTAAGGTGAAAACCTGAGACCCCGGGGTGGCCGTCCTGTTCTCAGGGGCCTCAGTGAGGGTCTCCACCACCCCAGGCCAGGAGCTCTGGACTGTCCCCTAGGATGTCAGTCTGTGACCCCCAAATAAGAAAGCGCAAGCCCCCTCCCCGCCCCATCCATGGGAAAAGACTCGGAGGCGGCCTTACTGTTGTCCAGGTGGTTGGCCTTAATGATCTTCTCCGAGTAGTCAGAAATACTGGAGCACTCGATCTAGACAGGGCACAGAACAAAGGAGCAGCACGTCAAGAAGAGTCACAGCATGTTTGCTGCAGCCTGGATCTGGGAAGCCCCCAAACCCCCTGTGTGAAAGGCTTTCCCCAGCCTGTGGCACTATTGGGAGGGGGTGTCACCTACAGGAGGCGGGGCCTAGTGGGAGGAAGTTAGGTGACTGAGTCCGTGGTCTGAAAGGGGATACTGGGACCCCAACCCTTTTTTCTCTTTCTCTCCTTGGTTCTCAGTTTCCACGAGGGGAACAGCTTTGCTCTACCGCATACTCCAACCACAATGCTCTCCCTCACCACAGGCCCAAAGCAATGGAGCCAGACAGCCAGAGGCTGAAATATCTGAAACCATAAGTCAATAAACCTTTCCTCCTTAACAGTTGTTTATGTCAGGTATTTTGTCACAGTGACAGAAAACGGACTCATACAACATCCAATACCAGCTTAATGAATGGAGAAGTTTCAGATCTAGAGAGGTGTGGTGACTTGCCCATAGCTGCACAATAAATAATGGCAGAATAAATTAGGGACAGAATTTGTGCCCTCTCAAGTCCAGTGTCCTTCCACTAATTTGGATTGTTTTCATCAGGTTCTAACACCTGGCTGCAGCCCATGATGAAGGACCTGATGTTTGTTCTGGAGCTTTAAGAAGAACTGGTGATCCTCACCTCCTGGCTAGAGGAGAATGGGAAGAGGTAACACAGCCACTGACCTCCCAGGGAGGTGTTGGCCAGAGTTGCCACAAACCTTACTCTACATTCCCCACATTAAACCCTCCCAAGGTGAACCATGTACACTTCTGACCATGTGGGAAATGCCAGGTCAGGACTTTAGGACTGGTCTTAAGATGCTCCCCTACCTCACTACACACGTTCGCTTCATCCCTTGCTATAGTTGGGATAGTTACTAAAAGACTTTTTTGCCTGTCTGTGGAAGGTCGTAGAACCTTTAGGAGGTGGGGCCTAGTGGGAGGAAGTGAGGTCAATGGGGACATGCCCTTGAAGGAGATATTAGAACCCAGGTCTTTGTTCATTTCACTCCTGACCATGAGGTAAGGCCTTTCTCTTGCCATATGATGTGCTGCCTCATCACAATTCCAAAAGCCATGGAACCAACTAACAATGGGCTGAAACCTAAAAACCTGTAAACCAAAACAAACCTTTCCTCTTTTTAAGTTGATTATCAGGAGTATTTTGTGACAGTAATGAAAGCTGACTCATGCAACCCTTCTGCAGACTCCACTTTTGAAAGGATTTATTTCTTTTAATCTGGAAGTCCTTTCTAGGATCCCTAAGCCTCCTAAGTGAAGGGCCAACATATTTGAGAGATGAATGGGTCATGAGCTCACAGCAGGACCTTGTGGGAATAGTTGGAGATCAAGCCCCAGGCCTAGGATGTGCTATCAGAGATTTCTGGGAAACAGATGGGCCTCTGTCAAGCGCTGCCCCTACCTCCCTAGCTGGCTCTCCCACAGGGCTAGCCTGTGCCCAGGCCCTGGGCTTGACTCACATCCACACAGAGGCCCCATCTCAGACTGCCCTAGGGCCTCACGAAGGGACCATTCCCTTCAGAAGTCATTGCAGAGGGCCACTGAGGGAGTTTCTGACAATCAGTGTCTGCCTTTGGGGCTGGAAATGGGTCTGGTCACTGTTAGAGGAACAGCTGAGCAGGCAGACCTTGGCCCAAGCTCAGGGACTTCCAGGAGGCCCTCCTCTCTCCTGGGCTGCCCGGCTCTTGGCCCTCGGGTCTCACGCTCTTCAGAACCATGCCTCTGTCCTTCTCTTCTCCCCCTTGCCACCATCCCACCATCCCCATGAGGTTCCTGAGGTGAACGGTGAACACACAGGCTCCTGGCCAAGGAGCTGGTCTCCCATCGGGCCTCCACCTCCTTCTACCTGGGCCTCTCGGGCCTCGAGAAAAGGTGCAGCCCGCCTCAGGTGGTCCTGTGAGGACAAGGCGGGTTCAAGTGTGAAACTCCAGCACCAGCTGCCCACGGCTTCCCGGACACACCAGGCCACTCTGTCCCCGTCCCTGTCATCTTCCTGCACCTCTTAATGGCCCTGCCTTCCCATCCTTCTCTCACACTTTCTCCTTCTTTTTCTTCCTTCTTATTCTCTGATCCTGCTGTTTCTCTGGCTCCTGGCGTCTCTCTGGTCCCCTCTGCTCTTCATTTCCCTCCCTCTCTCTCTGCCTCTGTCTCCACTTCCTGTGGCTCACAGTGGTCTCTCCTCCCTTCTCCCTGTTCCACCCTGGCCACCATCTCCCTCCCTGGGGAGGAGCCGGGGCGGAGAAGGGAGCCTGGGAGGGAAGAGCCTGTGAAATGAGCCATCCGGAAAGAAGCCCAGCCTGGTGGGCGGTGGCGGGCTGCCTAGGAGAGCCGCTGAGGCTGTGCCAAGTCCCCACAGCTGGGCGCTCTGGACAGCTCCTTGGCTGGAGCCCCGTGACTCAGGAGCCAGGGACAGCACTGTCCCGTCCCCGACCTAGGCCTGGGCCCTGGGAAAGAAAGCAGGCAGGGGTCACCAGATGACCCCAAGGGCACCTCCAAGGCACGTGACCTTTCTGCAGGTTGAATCTGTGCCCTGCTGGGGGCCTCTGTCCTGGTGAGGGGACCTAGAGAGGGAAGCCTGATGGGGAGGGGCCACAGCTGTGATGATGACAGTGACGATGACAATGATGACGATGATGATGACAACGATGACGACAGGTGGCAATGTGCCTCCTGGGCATCACATGGGCACCTCCCCTCAGCACAGGCCTCCGCTGAACTTTCACGCTGTTCCTGGTCAAGGCTGCATCCGAGGTACCTGAGGAAAGCCTGGGCTTTCGGAAGACTCTACAGCCGCTGTCCCAGGGGCATGAGAGAGGAAGGAGCACTGTCCTGTTGGAGGCTCAGGGGCCAGCCTCGGGGACCAGGGTGCCCAAGGGGACTTGGGGGCTCTGACCTGAGGGCAGGCTCCAGTGGCCCAGCACAGCTGGAAGGACGCTCCTGCACACTGTTCCAGGCCCCAGGGCCTTGCCACATGCCCACTGGAGCCCACTGGGGGTCGGCCTCTGTATTCCATCAAGGCCGGCAGCTCAGAGCTCTTCCCAGTTCTTTCCAGCTCTGACTCTCCCTGCCCTTCCCTGTCCTGGCTTCGTGGCCAGAGGCCTGCAGCGCCAACGCAGATTTAAAGGGACCAACTTGCTCCTTAAAGATAGAGAAAGGAGATTGCCTGCCCTCTGCTAGGGCCCCTATCCCCCAGCCATGACAGCAAGCCCTGAGCTCTGGCCACCTGCCCGGCACCCTCTGAGCACTGCCTCATCTGAGGCTCACCCCAGCCTCTGGGCCAGGTTCTGCCGACCTGCCATTCTATAGATGAAGACAGAGACGCAAAACGTCCAGGTCACACACGCGATGGGTGGAAGTGCAGAGGGTCAGACCAGAGCTCATGTCTAATCAGCCAGGGCAGAACTTGGTTCTGGAAGTTAAGGGTGACCTCAGGAAGGCCCCAAAATCAGGAGAGCCAAGAGGCAAGAGGTCGGGGCCATGCCTGGTGACAGGGAGCCTGGTTTTCTCTACTCCTCCCGAGCAAGCGTGTCCCTCCAGGAGGGAAGCCGAAGCGGTGGGGAGGGCGCGCTCACCCCGAACACCTTCCTGGCCCCGGCCTTGGCGGCGAACATGGAGAGGATCCCAGTCCCACTGCCCACGTCCAGCACCACCTTGTCCTTGAACACGTGCTTGTTGTGGTACATGGAGTTCCGGTAAGTGAGCGTCCGCACCTCGTCCTTCAGCATCTCCTGTGGTGGAAGGAGAGGGAAGGCAAGGTCAAGGCAGTTGAGATACCAGGGGGACAGCAGGGCCAGGCACCCCTGGACCACCCCAGAAAATGCTTCCAGAACCTCAGTATCACGGGGCACAGCCACAGAAAACTAGGGTGGGGCAGCTGGGCCAGAGACTCCCTGCATTGTCCCAAACCACCCAGAAAAATAACTTGGTGCCCTCAGAAGAGAAGCTCAGGTCCGAGCTTTAGAAAGTTCTATTTTACGAAAGAACACAGGGAGCAATTAATTCCAACTCAGTGTGAGAGATTTAAATTAGATCTGAAGCAGAATTTTCTGCTATAGCCAAAGAATTGTCATTGAACAGGTTTAAAAAAAATATTTTAAAATTATACATGGACAGGGTATCTTTATTTTGTTTATTTATTTCTATGTGATGCTGAGGATCGAACCCAGTGCCTCACATGTGCGAGGCAAGGGCTCTGCCACTGAGCCCCAGCCCCAGCTCCTGAACAGGTTATTAAAGACGGGTTTTTTATGTGTGTATACTTCCATTTCATTGGCTTGTTTGTTTTTGAGAATGGAAGACGTGCTTGTCTCTCCAGAAGTAGGTGCTTGGTAAAAACTGGAACCTGATAAACTGTGAAAACTGTCTGTTGCCCAGTGAGAACAAGATGGATCTGTGTAGGGGTCAGGCAGGGACCTCTGGCCGTTCAAATTACGGGCAGATGCTTTCGGCTAACTCATCACCAACAGTGTTGGGTTATTTCCCCACACACACACACAGAAATCAACATTATTGATACAATTTGGATACAATAAAAAGCTCAGATTTTAAGAGTGGCCACGCATCACTTCATGCGTGAACATCACACAAGCTTGGACGTCACTAGGCTGGGATCTCATGGCCACAGCCCTCCGTGGGGTCCCGGGTGCCTGCCACACCCTAGTGTGGCACCTGACTGAAGTGGCCAGTGTGAGGATTTTGACACGTACCCATTGGCACCGTGGCCATAGGCAAGATCCGCAATATTTCCTTTACCCTGGAAGGTGCCTTGCTCCCTGAGTCCACGCGGCCTGAGTCCACACGACCCATATTCTGATTTCTGTCCCCAAGCTTCTTCCTGCCTGTTCCAGACCTTCGTGCAGATCAAACGGGCTGGCATGCGCCTTTTTGTGTCTGGCTTCTTTGCTCCATGTAAAGCTTCGAGATTCACTCGTTCTCATGGCTTGGCGTATCCAGGTTTGTTTTCTGCTGCAGTTTTTGTTGTTGACTGGCACGTCATGGCACCAGCACCACCAATGTTTTTGTCTGCTCCCTCGTTCATGCGTGTCTGGATCGTTTCCAGGGTTGTTTGTTTGTTAATTATAAATAAAGCTGCCATAAACATCCTTGTGTAAGGATCTTGGAGGATGCACATTCCTATTTACTTTGGGTAAATACCTAGAGCTGAATTTTCTGCATCTTAAGGTGGGTGCACGTTTAATTTCATAAGAAATTGCCAAATCTTTTCCCAAAAGAGTCGTACCATTTTATGCCACCATCAGCAACGTCTGAGAGTCCAAGTTGTTTCTCATCTAGCCACTGAACAGGTGTCTCACTGTAGTTTTGACTGCGATTCCTCGATGGCTATTTGTTTTGTAGGTTATGTGCTCGGTGGCTATTTGTTTTAGTGAAGAAAGACCCAACCAAAACAACTGTAGAGAAGGAAAAGTTTATTTGGAGGCTTACAGTTTCAGAGGTCTCTCAATCCAGAGACAGTGGCTCCATTCCTCAGAGCCCCAGGTGAGGCAGGAACAGCATGGGGAAGAGTGTGGCAGAGGGAAGCAGCTCACATGATGATCAGAGAGCAGAGAGACTCCACTCTATAAATATACACCCCATAGCCACAGCCCAATTCCCACCTCCTCCAGCCACCACTCAGCCAATCCCACTGAGGACTAATACACTGATGAGGTTAAGTTAGTCATTTCTCCTCCAAACTTTCTTGTATTGTCTCACCCTTGACTTTTTGGGGAACACCACATCTAAGCCACAGCACTTCATATTTACCTTTTGTGTGTGTGTGTGTGTGTGTGTGTGTGTGTGTGTGACATGCCAATTCAAGCCCTTTGACATTTTTTTCCCTTGCACTGTTTGTTTGACTTGTTTTTACTGAATTATAGGAGTGGACATATTCTAGAAATAAGTTATTTTCTAAATGTGTCCTTTTTACTCATACATGACAGTAGAGTGTATTTTGACATACTATGACATACATGGAGTATAATCTCCCATTCTTGTGGTTTTTGTGATGTGGAGTTTCACTGGTTGGGTATTCACACATGAACAGAGGAAAGTTACGTTAGATTCATTCCACTGTCTTTCCTATTCTCCTCTCCCTTCCCTTCCACGCCTTCCCCTTTGTCTAATCCAATGAACTTCTCTTCTTCCCTCCTCACTCCTCATTGTGTGTTAGCATCCATTAGAGAGAACATTCAGCCTTTGATTTTTAGGGATTGGCTTATTTCACTTAGCATGATATTCTCTAGTTCCAACCATTTACTGGCAAATGCCATGATTTCATTCTTTATAGTTGAGTAATATTCCATTGTGGATATATATACCATATTTTGTTTATCCATTCATCTGTTGAAGAGCAGTTAGGTTGGTTCCATAGCTTAGCTATTGTGAATTGAGTGCTATAAACATTGATTTGGCTGTATCACTATGGTACGATGATTTTAAATCCTTTGGGTGTATGCTGAGGAGTTGGGTAACTAGGTTAAATGGTGGGTCCATTCCAAGTTTTCTGAGGAGTGTCTATACTGCTTTCAAGAGTGTTGCACCAATTTGCAGTCCCACCAGCAGTGTATGAGTGTGCCTTTTCCTCCACATCCTACCCAACACTTATTATTGCTTGTATTCTTGATAATTGCCATTCTGACCGGAGTGAGATGGAATCTCAGTGTGGTTTCAATTTGCATTTCTCTCTTTGCAGGAGAGGTTGAACTTTTTTTCATATATTAATAGAAACAAGTTCTTTTTGCCAGCTATATAAAATATTTTGAATATCTTCTCCCAATCTGTGGTTGGCTTTTCTCTTCTCAACAATATCTGTTGAGCAGTCTTAAATGTTGATAAAAGCTGATTTCTCAGGCTTTTTCTTTCTTTCATTATCAGTGCTTTTTCTTTCCTATTGAATTTATCCCAAGGTCACAAAGATAGACTATATTTTCTTCCAGAAGTTTTGTGGTTACATTCAGGTCTTTGATTCATGTCAGGTTTACTTCTGTTAGTGGGTAAGGTGGGATGTGAGCCCATGTTTTATCTTATAAATAAATGTTCCAAGCGCCACCGACTGCATAGGCTATCATGCCCCCACACCTCGAATGACCTTGCCACTTCTCTCTTTGTTGGTACGTGGTGCTGAGGATCGAACCTGGGCTGCATGCATGCCAGGCGAGTGCGCTACCGCTTGAGCCACATCCCCAGCCCTTTTGCCACCTCTCTCAAGATCAACTGCCTTTACACAGCTGGCTTTCAGATATTTAATCCACTCCACTGATACACCAATTCCACACCAACTTGACAAGTTGATATTAATTTTGAAATAAAGTAGTGGAAGTCTTCCAATTTAGCTCTTATTTTACAAGATCATTTTGTTTTTTCTAGGTCTTTTGCATTTCTGTATGAATTTTAGAATCTGCTTATTAATTCATGCAGAGCCATCGCCTGGGGTTGATTGAGTTACAGTGACTCTGTAGGTAAATCTGGGGAGAATTGTTATCTTAGCACAACTGAGTTATAAAGCCAAGAGCATGACACAGTTCTCCATTCATTTAGGTCTTCTTTAATTTCTCTCTAAAATGATTTATAGATTTCAGTGCAGAGACCTTGCATTTATTTCCTCCATTCAATTGATTCTTAACTATTTGATAGTCATGCCTAAGGCCTCTCAAAAGTACCCGATTCCAGGGACTACTGTATATGTGACGTTGTATCTCGCAGCCTCACCCACACCAGGTGGTAGGATTTTTATTTGTTTTCTAGATTTCTTTATTTTTTTTATGTAGAAAATTTTTGTTGCTTATAAATAAAACTACTTTTCCTCCTATCTGTTTGCCCTTTGTTTTTTGTTCTTTCCTCTTACCTTATTATTGCACTCACAAGAAAACACTGACCAGAATTGCCAAGGATAGACATCCTTCCTTTATTCCTATGTAACATGTCACCAGCATGTAAAATTTTAGCTGTAGGCTTTCCATGAATTTTTTTTTTTAATCAGACTGAAGATGTTCCCGTCTCTCTTTAACTGGTTGAAAGCTTTGATCATGAATCGGTATTTAAATTCTGTCACCTGCCTTTTCTACATTTTTTGAGATGGTGCATGACTTTCCTCTTTTGTTCTGTTAAAGTGTAACTCCACAGACTGGTTTTGAATGTCATGCTGCATCAGCCTTTTTAAATATTACTAGATTTTCTTTACCAACATATTGCCACAAATATTTGTATCTGTGTTTATGAGAGATGTTGATCTGAAATTTCTTTCTACCCTCTCTGCTAAGCTCTGCTGGGCGCACCTCGTATGTTAGAAAGGATCCTCTTCTCAACACTTTTCACAAACGTTTGTGTAAGATGCATATTCTTTTTTTCCTTTAACTCTTTTTTATTACTCACTAGTAAAACCATAGGGGTCAGGAGTCTGAGGCAGGAGGATTGCAAGTTTAAGGCCAGCCTTAGCAACTTAGCAAGGCCCTAAGCAATTCAGTGAGACTCTGTCTC